CCTGTCGGCGCCGACAGGTTGGTCAGCATGTTCTGTAGTCCTGAAATGCTGATTATAAATATTTTTCCCTGTCAACTTACCAAACTAGTCATTGATGTGTGTAAAAATATATTTTGCACGGGGAGCCAACCTTGTTTCCCCTCATCAGTGTGGCAGAGGTTGGTGCAGGTTCACCATCTTATAGTTCGGCGGGTTCAGCAGATCATTTCCATCTCCAGTTGGACTCTCTCTGGACTTTTGGGGTTGTAGTTTTTCCAGCGTTTTAATGAAATCGTCTCCATCTCTGTTTCTTGGGGATGAATTTATTTCAGCCTTCTAACTTTCTGTAACATTGCAGAGTTTTCTGATTACAGTGTGCCAAACCATGAAGAACTGCAGAAAGATGGGACTTTCAAGCATTGCCACGATAACAGCTTCGCTCAGCAGGACCGAGAGACGGAGAAAAAAGTTGCCAGCAGGAGGTTGTACGTTGTTTCCATCATCTGTCTGCTCTTCATGATAGGCGAGATTTCTGGTAGGTTATTTTAAAAAACTCCCTTTTCTTGCTTTATTACTTTCATCCTAAGTCTTTCTCAGTGTTCTTTGACAATACTGGTTAATTTTGACCATTAGCTTTTGTCCTTTTGTTCTTTTTAACTCTGTTCTGTTCTCATTTTCTTTATTCAACTTTTCATTACATCTCCACCTCCTGTCTTTTCTCTTTCCTTTTCCTGCATCCTTCAAAAAAAAACTATTTTTACTCCAAAATGTCCAGTTACCACATGTAGAAGGGGTCAAATGCAACTGGAAGCATTAGAGTTACAAAATATTGATGCTAATGTAGACAGACCCTTAGTAATTGTTTAAATTTTTCCTTTTTGCAGGAGGATATTTGGCAGGAAGCCTCGCGGTCATGACGGACGCAGCTCACCTTCTGACTGACCTAGCCAGCTTTGTCATTAGCTTGTTTTCCCTCTGGCTTTCCTCTAAACCTGTCACACAAAGGCTCAGCTACGGCTGGTATCGTGCAGGTACCGAGTCATAGGACGGGTCCAACAGCATCTGTTGCATTTATGTTTCCTTTCCAACAACATTTAGTTTGAAATCATTAATACAACAATACAACACACACTCTTTGTAAATATGAAAACACAATTTTGTGACTATCATATATTTAATTATCCGCTTGCTAACAATAGACCTTGCTGGTTGCATGACTACTACAGAATTTATTGGCTAGCCTGCAGCTACTTTGCTAGCTAGCAGTTTCTACTAGCTAGCTAACCTGGTAAGCTAACAATTCCCTGGTAAGCTTGCTTGCTAAGTAGGAAGATGGATTACTAATTTGCTACATGCTAGCTACTTTGCTGGCTAGCAATCTACCCAGCTAGCTTACTTGCACCAGGGTGAATGCAGTTGTACGTCAAGCCTTTTGTGCAGGTATCTTGGGGACACACAGGACTGTGAGATGACCAGATACTGCTACTGGAACGATGCCACGAATCTTTGTTTTTTCCTTTTTTGTTGTTTTTTCTGGTCAGATCCTTGTTAACTAAAAATCGAGATGGATTACTAATTTGCTACATGCTAGCTTCTTTAATGGATGCAGTTGTTAATACACTTGTGCTGCATTAATAAGGCTCTGGTTATGAGTCCCTCAAGCTCTTTCTGTATGGAGTTTACTTTTATTCCAGGTGTATAAATGTTTTTTTTTTTTTTAAATGGCCCTAAATATCTTAAGAGGGTGGATGGAAAGTTTGCTTGTTGGTTGCACGTAGTCAATTAACTTCATAGTTATAAACTAGCTAGCTGATAATAACAAGTTAGCATCTTTAAGAATATATTCTTTCTCTGGTTCTTTGGGTTTTGAAACCGTTTTTCCTCACTCTGTAAAAGAAAAATTTCCACAACAGTTTTATGTAGTTAATTAACTTCATGGTTATAAACTAACTGATAATAACAAGCTAGCATCTTTTTCATCTTGCCCCAATTTCAAGTTAGCATCTTTTTCATCCTGCACCAATTTCATTTTAGTAGCAGCATCTCCAGATCCAGTTTTAGGCTGAATTTTAAATCACTACCAGCCAAATTAATGTCCCATGGGTAAAAAGAGAATTGATGCACTTTCATGATAAAACATTTCTCAGAAACTGTAGTTTAGGTTAGGATAGAAGCAACTACCTGGTAAAAGAAGGTCAACTTCTTGCCCCTTAGCCATTTGGTCGATGTTTGATTATGTTTTCTGGTGAATTCTCTCCTGATTTCTTTGCAACGTTGTTTCGTCGTCCATGCAGAAATCTTGGGTGCTCTGCTGTCAGTTTTCACCATCTGGATCGTCACAGGAGTGCTGGTTTATCTCGCTGTGGAGCGCATCGTCCATGATGACTATGAGATCGAGGGCCATGTGATGCTCATTACCTCAGGTTGTGCAGTGGTGGCCAACATTATGTGAGTAAAATGGAGGAATGTTGTTGTTTATGCTAAAGTATTCAATAATTGTTCTTTAACAGGTTGAAGAACAGAATTTCTTATAGCGCTGATTGAAATTGGTCCTTATTTCCCAACAGAATGGCTTTAACCCTTCACCAGTCGGGTCATGGCCACAGTCACGGCGGACTTGCCTCACACGGACACAGTCACAGTCCCAAGAGAGGAAAAGAAAAGACTCGGAGCCCAAACAACATCTATTCAAACGACTGCATAGACATGGAAGAAAACCATGCGGGCAACGGTACGATTGAAAAACAGCAACATAGCTGAGACACTAAAATGTCGTAATATGATGTGGATGTTTGTTATTTTCATATGTGTTAGGAAAGAGGGCTCAGCAGGCGAATGCAAGTGTGCGAGCAGCTTTTGTGCATGTGATGGGAGACCTTCTCCAAAGTGTTAGCGTGCTCGTCAGTGCCATCATCATCTTCTTCAAGGTATCTTATTCTGCATTTGGGCTCAAACTCAAACTCTGCTTTAAAGAGTTTTTTCTGTGGTAGAAACTGCAAATGGAGATTTAAAATGTCTGAGAGATAGAAATATGCAAGTTTTCCCTCATCTCAAGTCTTATTTTATTAATTAAAAGTAGTTATTGTGAAACTACTATATCTTTGAAAATTACTTAAATGGTCATTCTTAATAAAGCTTTTATTTAAACTCAATGATAATCTTGTGTGTTTTAGAGCGTTTTTACACCTGATAGTCCGGCAGACTCAGTTCGATTGGGAACCAACATTATTTTACATTTTCTGCTGGTGATTCGTTTTCACGCTGCATTGTTCGCCTGTGGTGAAACAGCACAAAAACCACCGAAGAAGACACTGAGCGCAACTTCCTTCTTTGCAAAATGTAAACAAAAGTGGAGTAGTGTCAGGTTTTAGCGTTTGTCGGATTTCTCTTTTGCGTTTGGTAAAAGTCCATGAGTCATTTCTTCCGCTAGTTTCAGATTCTAGCCTGTGAGTTACCTAGCAACTCGCACGTCCTTTGGTTGCCTAGCAATAACCTGCTGAGCAACAGCCACAGTAGCCCCATGATCCACTTCCTGCTTTGGGAATGGTCTCCAGTCCAAAACAAAAGATTTGTTTTCATTGCAGCTGCCCTTTTAAGGATTTCACCCAGATGATTTGCTTTTCTGCTTAAAAGAGGGATCTAATTTATTCATTAAATAAAATAAAATGTAGTTTTTCATTACATAGCTATGTATTAAGTTATGCTTTTTGATTTTTTTTTTTTTAATGATTTTTACTTCCAGCCAGAATATAAAATCGCAGATCCGATCTGCACCTTCTTGTTCTCCATTCTGGTCCTATGCACCACCTTCACCATCATGAGGGACATCCTTCTTGTTCTAATGGAGGGTAAGGCCATCACTATTCTTTTAGTATATATTATCATAGATTTGGCTCATTTTCTCTCAGTTTTGCTTTTGTTGTTTTTTCCAACTGTGTTGCAGGTACGCCATCGGGGGTGAGGTACAGTGAGGTGCGAGACCGTTTGTTAGCTGTAGACGGAGTCAAAGCAGTTCACAACCTTCACATCTGGGCGCTCACCATGAATCAGGCAGTTCTGTCTGCACACATAGCAATAGGTGAGAAAAGTCAGTCATTTATTTCACAGATTGTTTTGTATTTCAATTAGTTGTTAGAGTTGGCATTGTGTTTCAAAACAGTACATCATAATATGGCTGGAGAATAAATCAGTAACGTATATCAGATTAGACATGGGATCAGTATTGATAGATGATGCGTCTGATAAAATATTCAGCAATTTCACTGAACTGCACTGCATTCTGGGAGATATAAGCAGAGGAAAGGTTTTAGCAACTCAACTTAAGCTAGTGAGTCAGTTGGTGGAATCAACTGACTCACTTGCTCTTTGGTTACCTAGCAACTCGTATGTTCTTTGGTTGCCTAGCAACAACCTGCTGAGTAACTGCCACAGTAGAAGTTTTAGATTCCACCGCTGCACGTCATAACTGTTAAAAAAATAAATAAAAAAAGCAGAGTGAAGTGAAAACTGGATAAAACAGGGAAGTCAGGCCAGCAGTTTGTTTAAAACAACAACAAAAATCAATAACTATCAATATTGACTGATAAGACAATATTGCGAAACCAAACTTTTTTTAGCCAAATCATCCAATCCTACGTAATAAAAAGGCCACCTAGTCACATTTTTGCTTTTTCGAACTAAAATATACCTTATATAAAATTTTAAAAATGTGTTTATTGTAATAAACTCTCGGCTGTATTGGTCTCTTCACTTTAGATGTTAACAGCATTTCAGTTACACGTAGAATAAATAAATTATAAGTGGTGTTTTCTGTCTGTCTCCGCTTCTCCAGATGATTCGGTTGATGCCCAGACCGTCCTGAGGGAAATGACCCAGGCCTGTTTCTCCTCCTACAACTTCCACTCCATTACCATTCAAATGGAGCGGCAGGCTGACCTGAAGCCTGGATGTACGCTGTGTGAAAATCCTCAAAACTAGGAACCCGATGAGACTCGTTTCCATAGCAACTAGGACGGCCGGGAAACGTTTTCTTTTACTGCAGCGTCTCAGACAAACTTGCGTACCTGTATTTTAAGTGCACTTTGTACTAATTCCTATAATTGTTGGTATTTAATGATGATGAGGATGGCACAAGCTTTAATAATTTGACTTATTGCAAAAAAAAAAAAAATCACATTAAACTAATTTGTTCTTTTCTTCTTTCTGAATTTAAAATTTTGAGTGTCTTTTATAGCTTATTGATTCTTAAATGTTTTGAGTCAAGGTGCTGAATACAAATAAACAATACTTTTGGAAGACGCTGTATGTGTTGGCATGATAGCAGTAAAGCAGCGGTGTCAAACTCATTTTAGTTTTGGGCCAACTGAAGATCCTAAATTTTCTTAAAGGGCCGGTTGTGCCAGAAAGTATTGATAAAACCTGTTCACACTGTTAAAATATCAATTAATTCTTAAAATTAAGTAATATTGAACATCTATTCAGCCCCGCCAGGATTTTGTGATACTTTTTGTGATTTTTTTTTAAATATTTTTTTTAAATAAAATTCAAAATGTTTATGGTACTAATTTGGAAATATTTGGATATTTGCGCTTATTTATGTTGGTAAATGCGACTTTTTTATTACTCGCTGTATAGATTATGGATTATAATATGACATGCATTAAAACTGAAGCAGCTGTTTAGTACAAGTAAAAAAGCCTGTGACAATTTTTGAAAAAAATTTGCAATAAGCTCCCAATTATTAGTGCAAAAGAATTGGGGCATTTGTTGGTTTTGTGTGAATTTCCACAATAATTTGCAACAAACTGGAGGGGCTGATTGATATAATTTGGCAGTAAATGGATAAAAACTCAATTGACTTGATTCATGAAGTAATATTTAAGCACATTACAATAGCTACGGCGGGCCGGATTTGGCCCACGAGCCTCGAGTTTGATACATGTGGTTTAAAGAGAAAATATGTATTTTTTACATTGTAAAACTTAATGAACTATTACAATTATTTAAATGTTTTATTTGATCCACTCAGTCAACACTGAAATTTAAATTAATTGTTCTTTATGCCATCTAATTATGAGGAAAACTAAAATTACTGTAGCATAAAATTGAAATATTAAAGTGATTCTAACTGGTCACTAAATGCCCTTTTTGCATCATTTTACTGCCCATTAAATGAATATTTAGCTCTAATCCCAGCTCTTTCAAGTGAATTTGCTTTGAAGAGCTGAATGGACTTTAGATGCAGCTGCCCTCAGAGTAACTCACTGCTCTCTCTTCATTCCAGTGTATTTCCCTGGAGGAGCCACATATTTAATTAAAGCATGAGTAATGCACTACAGAGTGCAAAGATAATCCCTTTTAGTGCTGATACCCCTTAAGCTAATAATTACTACTACGTTTTCTTTAAAGTGATGACCTGTAAAGCTAATTTCCAGGTTATTTTTGACTTTAAAATAGCCTGTTTCCTGTTTTTATTATTCTATCTGGATATATAGTAGGTGTTTGTTCAGACTGCAGCACCACTGACGCCGTTCAGTGAAGCTCTTTCCAGTTTTATCTGTTTTGAAGCTGCAGGTAAAAGCAGCTGCTTTCTTTCAGGTGCAGTATGCTGTCTGAGGCGAGCAGAGGTGACGAGATGTGCAAATATGAAAATGATACGATTTAGATGAAGATCTTTGATGCTCATTTTTTACTCCTTGAGGTTTGACCCCAGCAAAAATCTACCTATGATCGACTCTTTCTTTTTGCTTTGCAGTGATAAATCGCTCAGGAAGGGAAAGAAAACGTGCATTTTGCTTCAAGTCAACCTTCTGTTGTTTTTTTTTTAATTAAGAAGTTGTGGCAACACAAGCAAGATTGTATTTTTACACCTTTTCTTAGAGTAAAAGCCGATTTCTTTAATAAAAAAAAAACAGTTCAGGTTTTGATTACACAAACTTGTCAGATGACAGAATTTTAAAGGGTGAACTTTAAATTAATAATAGGAATTCTGCAATAGGATACTTTTCAAGTCAGAAGACAAATCTTTCTCTTTTTAAATAAAATCTTATACAATCAGAGAGAAAATTTCTGAAAGTGATTTCAAATCTGTACAAATAAAGACAGAAGCACATTCAACATAGAGCTGATCATAGTAGACGTTCAATAGGTTTGTAGCATTCTGCTGTATTGTACTAAATTAGTCCAGATCTTAGTCAGCAAGGCTTTTTTTCATACAATAAAACATAATTAAATTCATTTTTTGGCTATACAAAGAATATTTTCAGTATGCAGTCACTATTGTAGAAAAGTTTCAGTTCCTGTTCTCTGAGTACTGAAAAACGACAAGTTGACCCTCCCAATATGGCGGCGTCGCAGACATGGGAAACTGAATCTGGTGCCAAGCTGTCTAGCATGTGTTGCGATTAATGTTATACAAATGACATACCAGTTGGGGGCGCTGTTTCTCTGTTTAAAAAATACATAAAGATTAACCAAAGCAAATGTGCAGTGCGCGATGCTTCTTCAACAAGACATTTCTCCCATACAGGGAAAAAATGCGGAATCTATCATCAATATTATAGAATAATACTTTATATGATAACTAAATCTAGAAAAAATAACCAGAAAGAAGACGAAGAAAGGGAACCAGGAGAAGAAAGAAGACAGCGGCGCCCCTATTCTGGAATTTACTGCATGATTTCTGGAACGACGTACTCTCGCGATACTAAGATACAATTAGCAGCAGCTGTGCCCAAGAGAAGCTTGTTTGTTGTTGCAGGGCTTAAAATGTCAACGAAAGTGAAAAATCACCACCTCAAAGGTAACATCACCCGCCGTTTAATTAGCTGTTAACATCAATATTCAGTAAAATGCTGCGTTTATTGTCGCGTCGGGTCAGTTTGAGCACACTAAAGCAAACGAAGATGAAGTTGTATGGTTTGAGTTAGCTTAGGCAACAATTTCTTTCCGTTACTTATTACGACAAAGGGCTGTTGAAAGTCCACAATAACATTTTAAAGCTATTAACTAACGTAAAACTTGTTTAAAATGTAATGTCTGTCTTGTATTGTAACGATTAGTGTGTGTAACAGCTGTTAAACTTGTAGAGTTGCTTGTATTTTAATTATAGTGATGTAAAATGTTCTGTGTCCAATTAAACCAGTAATATGGATTGAGTTTTCCTTTTATTGAAGGAATGTAAATTTGTGCTGATGTAGTTCAGCCTTAAAGGAGACTCCACCCGGACCAACACCTGCTGCTCCTTCTCCTCCTTCAGCATCCTGACCTGCCGTCTCCATGACGACCCCTCCTCTAGTGCCTCCTTTCGTTGGTCAGCCTCCTCCCCCCCAGCAGCAGCAGCAGACCCAGGCTGCTAGAGATGTCAACACTTCCTCACTGTGTCGCATCGGCCAGGAGACTGTCCAAGACATCGTCCTCAGGACGATGGAGATCTTTCAGCTACTCAGGAACATGCAGGTCTGTTTCTACCTGCTCACGTTTTGAGTCACTTTTTTTTCCTTTCTAATTTGCTTTCAAGGACTCAGAGCTCCTATAAGTTAGTAGAGATGTTATTTTGGACTTTAGTCGCCTTTTCATAGTCCATGAAACTCACTATGTCGTGAAATTGTTCAGCATGTGTAAAAACTTTATGGATTAGATGTTTTTTAATGTTTGTCCAGTGGTTCTACCGAAATCAATGCACATATCACTCTGACAAATGATGATGACAGCTTGGCTTAGTGCGACCCCAAAATTAATATACTTTTTTTTAAGTACAGGAATAAAGTAGAACTTGTAATAATTTAGTCACCTTTGGTACATTAGAAAACACCTAGTTTAAAATATTTTAAGCATCTTCCACATTATCGTTGTGGAGATAACAGCGTTAAATGAAGAAGTTAGAGAAAAAATGCCGTTGTTTGAAAGTTCAGTCCGTCTGTCTGTCCAACTATCACTTTTCCTGGACTTATAATATGTAATTGTCATACAAGCCTGATGCATCTGCCAAGTTTTATGAGTTTTTGTATAAGTTTTGACAGCCAAAAAGCTAATTCATTTGACACAATAATAATAATAATCACTGCTCTGGTGTAATTATCAAATGTTATTGTAATTTGTACTTCACAAGGTTCTGATGCTGATGGCTGTGATCATGTAGAATCTCCTGTAGCAGTCTCTGTTACAACAGATCTAGAGAAGCCTCTGACTGAAGACATGGTTGTTCTAACGCAGACTCATGAAGCGTATGCTTCGTAAAAGTCAAATGTTCTTGATTTTTATGAAGAATCTCTTTTCACCAACTCCAGATCTTCCAGAGTAGTCCCAGAACAGATCAGGTTGTTGAAAACAGAGTTTTAATTATATCAAAACAATTAGAGGGGCTTTGAAGAATAAATGCTGCTATTTTTACAGAATTCATCTCTTGCCTGGGGTTTTTAGCTAGCGGCTTATTTTGTTTACAAGTGGAAATAGGTGGAGTAGCTAAAGTTTTACTCAAGTAAAGGTAAAAAGTAGCTTTTCAAGAAATGAGTATTTGAAACAAAGGCAACATAAGTACAGAGTAACTGATCAAAAAATCTGATTTACTATTTTAAAATGGTGTCATTAAACACACAATATAAAATGAAAATATGGCATTTTTAAAACTGAAGCAACATTTTGGCAGAGGAGACACTTTTTCAGTTATAAATGTTACATAAAGCTAATGCTCAAGTAGGTAATGTGAACATTAGAGCAGGGTAATATACTTTCAGTGATAATAAATAGTGTTTGTTGTATCTTATTGACCTCCAGCAGATAAAAAACATCAGAACAACAAAGCCTGTGTACAAACAAGAAGTCTCACTTTAACATAAACTTTAGGTTTATGTCATACATTTTTGCTCTTTCTTCATTGAAGTTAACTGGCACATGGGTAGTAACTCGTTACTACCCATCTCTGTTTACAAGAATAGCCGTCGTCATTTTCTCTGAGGTCAGGCTGATATCTAAATTTCATCTTCTCCTGATTCTTTTTAGTTATTTGGTTGTTGCTCAGTTTTGGTTTTTCTTAAAGTCGAGGTCAACTTGAACGTCTCCATCGTCCTCGGAGTCGCTCTCCCTGCTGCATGTTTGCATCAGAGCCAAACAAGCATTCTTCTTGCTCAGCAGAATTCACAAACAACATTGTTGTGACTTGTTTCTTCAGATCACAGACTGTCTTGCTAATAAAAATTCTTCCTGTATCCTCTCTCCTCCGCACTCTTTATTCCCGTCTCGTCTCTGTTTCTCTGTCTCCTTGTTTGCCCTGCAGGCAGGCTTGTTCATGTTATGTAGGATGTTTATAATCAGACATTGGAGCCTCAGAGGCTTGTTGATCCTCTCAATGAAAGAATGCATTGTTGCTTTTAACACCATTGTAGTTTAATGCCAGTAATCTTGAAAAAAAAAAAAACAAAAACATCCAGCCGTTGTGGAAGACTTTGTTTTGTTGATGCTGAATTGGGATTTAATCTCGTAAAAAGAATATTTTCTGTGAAGCTGCATTAAATAAGCAAGTTAGCTACGCCCCAGAAGATCTGAGCTGTGTAATTAAATTACAACTTTTTCTGTTGTGTTTATTTCAAAATATGTTGGATCCTTAACCCTTCAGATGCTAGCTAAGCTAATTAGCTTCATGCATCTTATTTTACGAATGCAACCAGGCTGGTGTATGACTGCTACAAATGTTTATTGATACATATTCTAAGATTAATATTAGAAGTGATTCGATACCAGTCGAGTGATCAAGGTGAACTGCACATGGTTTATGGAAGAATAAATGTGTATTAATTTTGCCGACAAAATTAGTAAATAATCTTAACCCTGAGCTATATTCTGTAATAAAAATATATATTTAGGCTTACTAATGTCTTCTAGTTGTATGTTAAAACAAACACCATGTGACCAAAAGTCAAAGGTATTTGCAGTTTTGGGTATGAGGCTTTTTAGTGACACTAGGCAACTTGGGAATGGAATACCTGGATGTAAAATTGTAGAAACTAAATTCTATGCATGTATTTTATTACGCAACTTTGAATCAAAAGATTACTTCAGATTATAGAAGAATTATATAAATAAAGAATAAATTATTTGCATAAGCACGTACCGTAATGCAATACGTTTTTTTCTGTTTATTTCGGATGGGATAAAAGCAGTAAAGGTTTTTTTCAGCATTTAGCTGTATTTAAAACACTACAGTATGAACACCAATAATTGTACAAAAATGTTAAGTCTTGTTTGAGAACGTCAATAAAAATAATCAAACTGAGATTAAAAATCAGTTTCATTCCTTATGTGCCTAGTGGATCTAATTAGCAACACACCTAAATTTACACAAATTTTAGGTGCAATGTTTAAATTTATACTGTCTAACATCTGAAGGCAAAAACAAGTATTTTTTTGTAGAAATGGATATAAATTCAGGATTTATGGTATTAAATATGGTATAAATCCTGAATTTATTTTAAATGAGGCAAACAGTTTTGCCTCATTTTATCCTTTGGGGCAGATAAATGAACCGGGCCCGTCTCTGACCGGGCGCGTCTCTGACCGGGCCCGTCTCTGACCGGGCGCGTCTCTGACCGGGCCCGTCTCTGACCAGGTGTGTCTCTTCTCCTTCTCAGCTACCCAATGGAGTGACGTATCACCCCAACACGCATCAGGACCGGCTGGGGAAACTTCAGGAGCATCTCCGGATGCTTTCCGTTCTCTTTCGCAAGCTGCGACTGGTCTACGACAAATGCAACGAGAACTGCGCCGGGCTGGACCCCATCCCCCCAGAGGTCAGAGGTTAACAGATTGAGTTACTACATTTAACACAGTTTGATTTAAAATATATAAATTTGACCCTCTATAATTCATGTCATGTATTTATTCCCCTAAAACACAGGATTAGTTTTTTCTGCTTTATATTTACTTATTTGCTATTTATTATCCCACTAATTATTTTTGACGATTGATTATTTGAACAAAATAAATTGACATATTTTGCAGAATTTTCATTTAACCATTTAAAAATATATTAAAAGATGCAAATTAATAATAGTAATATCTTGTTTTTTTAAAATAAAACAGATATTGTATTACCTAAAATTTAGTAACACATAATTCCTCCTGTTTGCTTGATTATTTGTAGCTAAGGCTTAATCTGCAGTTAAACAAAATACCTTTCACAGAATTTGTGAAGCTAAAATTATGCCACATAATTGACAGAAAAGGTTTATTTTTTATCTTAAGTGCAAAATTTGTAAGTATTTTGTACAGTTTTGAATTTATTACTAATCTGACTGCATTTTTGTTCCTGCAAACGGTATTTTTTTTACAGCCTATATGCACCAATTAATGATTAATCAATTACTAAACTACTTGACGATTATTTCAACGATCGATTAGTAACATTTAAATGGTTCAGCTCTGGTCTACATGCAGGCTTGATTGCTTTTGGTACATGTGAAATCACAGACTCAGACTTGAACTCTGATTGCTCTTCACATGTGCTGCAGCGCTGCAGCCTGGCTTTCCGCTGTTTCTGATTGGATTTGCGGCTGCAGCAGTCGCATCCCGATCTCTACAGATTGCCTCAGAGCTAATCCTCGTCTCCAGTCTCCCACTGGGAAAAATGGAGGATATGGGAGGAGACGGGTCTTAAATTGGAACAAATTTCTGTTTAATGCCAACCTTGTGTTGAGTAATATCTGGACAGCGGTTTGTTTTTCCACCTCTAAATCAAAATCCACGATGAGGGCGACATTTTCCTCCTGCTGTTGCCGCCTGACCTCCACCTTCTTCCTCCACCTTTATTTAAATGTGTATTCATTTCCCCTGGAGACCCGGAGCGGCGCTGACCAGCCAATAACTTAGCTCACCGTGTTTGTCTGGGGCTGAGCATTGTTGATTTTGGCCCAGCGGCTGCCTCGTTTATCATCCTGGGGAAAATTCAGGTGCCAGCCTGACAGCAGCTCGCTATTGGCTGCCTGAAACAGGAAGTGGAATCAATGACTGGAGCGGTGTGACCTCATCGCAGCCTAATTAGCAGCAGACCTGTTTAATGAACAGCTGGACTGAGCGCACACATCAGGCTCCTTTCCTCTCCAGCTGGCGCTAGCTGCAGCTTTTCCCTCCGTCTTTCTCCATCTTTACATGATTAGTTAATCTTTTTTCCTTTTTCTGTTCAGTATTAGCTCTTTTCCTCCTTTTTCTGCAGGCCAGTTTTTATTTTTACGGTTCCTTGGACATGTAATACCTTTTGAACCTTTGCGTCACATTGCAACTACAGACGTCAATGTTTTTAAATACAGGATTGGCAAACATTTCAGCCAGCAGATGTGCAAATCAGTGCAATTTAAGAGGATGGAATTAAACAGGACTGACTCCATATGTATGCCATACTTTATGGCTGATTTAAGAAAAAAAACTTAATTTTGTATGGCTTTACACCACAAATTTGGTTCAGCATTCCGGGCAGTTTATGCATATTAACTGAGGCAAAACACTTTTAAAAAATAATGCAGGCAAAAAAAAAAACCTTCCCAGAATTCGTCTTTTATCAGCCACATTTATTGCTTTCATTTTAATTTTATAGGAAATAAGACCTCCAGCCTCGAGAGATTTATACTTGGACGCAGACTTGGCGCACCATTTTCTTAACTAGGCTAAATAAAGCAAGATTTTTGAAGAAATGTGGATCATACTCTGTTTCTAATAATTTGGCACATATTGAAATAAAACTCTTTTGTGTCCTTTTTAAAAAAAGATTTGCCATTTTTCTACAAACAACAACCAAACTTTGGTTAAAATATGTAGTTAAAATCAAATAAAATTGTATTTGTAGAGCACATTTCAGTGTTTCCATTAGAAGACAAACATCAACAGTTGAAACATTAAATTTTTCCATCTAAATGTTGGTTAGTGTTTCACTTATTAAGGTACCAATTTAAATGTAACGTTAAAATATTTTAATAATCCTTGTGTCCTTTGACTGCTTTTAACTCGACTGGTTTTGAGTCCTGTCGCCACATGTTTGGACACTTCTGGCTTCACTGTTTGGTCTTTATAATACAGTTTGAATCATGAAGTTTTCTAGAAAACTGATGGATTCAAACGAGATTAAATTACATACATGTTGGCGTGTCACAATTAATCGCATGATAAATTAAAGCAAACTCGATCATTTCTATTTGCAAAATTTAAAAACTGGATTAACACTTTTTTTAAAGATAATTTTGTTCATAATTTATTTTACTTGTTTTTTCTGTGGTTTATTTGGATTTAATTTTTAAAATGTCTTCCGGTTCCAGTTTTAAATGTTTGAGAATTTAAAGTTTAAGTTTATTGATCTTTAACATGTGCATTATTTTGGTATTCCAATAACTAATTTATCGCGGAGCAGAATTGGTTATTTTCAGCCCTACTTACATGTGGACTCTACCAAATTAATGATGTGCATGATTTACTTTTCACATTTTGCTGAAACCTTTTCCCTTCTGCTTCAGAGTTATTCATTGCTTTGTGCTGGACTGTCACATATAATTTAAATAAAACACATTTAGGTCTGTGGCTGTTGGGTGGAAAAGGTTTAAGGAGCATACATTTTTCTGCAAGGCACCAAATTCTCCTTTTCTTCTGCTTCACTCTTGCTCCAGTCCGCCGCAGCTCTTGTCATTTCCTGCAGCGAACAGTCAAGCGGTTTCATTTCCCTCTCTCCTTATCCGTTCACCCTGTTATTTTCTTATTACTTGTTTTCTTTTTTCTCCCGTTTCCGCTTTTTTTCTGCCTCTGCCCTTTTCCTCTTGTCTCACCGAGGCAACCTGGAGAACTTCATTAGCTCATTCCTCTCTGTCAGGCTGGAAACCACATCCATCTTTCTGTAGAGGAGGCCCGGGTTGTGACTCACAGGCACATACATTTACTCTGACTTGCATGCACAGAGCGCTCTGCATCCATCTTTTCCCAGCTGGACTCAGCACATTTTATTTCCTTCCTGCTCCTTTGCCAGAGTCGACCCTCAGGATTCGATATGTGGATCGGTTTTGCTCTTAAATGATCTGATGAAAAAACATTTCTGTTTTCCTTCTGGGACGCAGCTTATAGATTGTTTTAATGTCCAACTCGATGTCAGTGTTGTTCTTTCTTTCTTCTTCTAAGATCACGGTTTAGATTGGGAGTTTTTCCAGGAAACTCTCAGGATTGAAAGGTTTCCTTTATTGATCTTTTATTGGTGCTTTTGAAACCCAAATGGGTGAAATGTTTCACCTCTTTCGTCTTTAGTTTAGATTTAAATATTTCACTTTCACCTTTTCAGGGTTCTTGAAAATCCTTGAAAATGCTTGAACTTCAGTGAGGTGTTTTCAAGGTTTGGTCCTTAAAACGCTTAATAATCAAACAGCGCAGTTTTGTAATAATTCGCAATCTATTGTTTGACTAAAAGCATAAATTTGGAAAACAGTATTTACTGTTGAAACCAGATAATTTAAACACTTTTTTCTTGCTATCTGGAGTTAAATCAGACCAAATTTATCTTCTTTTAGGTTATTAAATTATTTCTACTTGCTAAATTTGAGAAAACTTGGCAAGAACATTTTTTAATAAAGATTTTTTTGTAACTTTTCTCTGACCAGTCAGGTGTACAAGGTGTGTGTGTAAGAAACATTTCAAAACATATTTTGTTTTATTTTAGTTTCCCTTATCCCTACTGCAGAATATACAATACTATTATAAGACATTAGTAAAAACGTAATAAATTATGTAAATAGTCTCTTTTTTGTATTCATTTTTGAGCAGCTTGCCTTGAAAAGTGCTTGAATTTTACGAACCTTTCTTTCTGCCCTCTCTTCCTCCAGGTTTTCTTGTTTTGCTTGTTTCCCTCTCGCTCTGGTTATTAGTTTGATCGCTTCAGTCATCAAGCAGCTGCACAGCTTCAGGCTAATCGGAAATTAACCAAAAACTTTGGGCTGTTTATAGTAAAGTTATCCAAAATAGTTGGAGTGAAAAAGTGTTTTCTCGGAGGTTCTCCAGCCTAATCTGTGTTTATCATCTTGTCTGCTATGAAGGTCTGAGTTTTGGAGAGGCTCCATTATGTTTGCTTAACTTTGTTTTTGCCCACAGCGACTTTGTTCTTTCAGGAATAGTTTTGCTTTTTCTTGTATAAACTAAGCTTGTTTCATACCAGTCCAGTCAGTAGTTTGGATATATTCATACATAAGTTTTATTTTACAGGAGTTTCTCTAAACACAAGCGACGTACAGTCCCTGTACTCCTAAAATTACACCTTCACCAGTTTTTATTGCTTTCCACAAGCTGCTGGTTGGATATTTCTTCCAGAAGTCTTTTGATCTTGTGGGATTTCTTTTGGCACAGATCTAGTTTTTAAGCATAGTGTAAATAATTTCAAACAGGTTGAGATTTAAGCCATTTTAATAGTACTTTGTTTTCAGACGCTGCACCAATCTGCCTCCATTTTCCACCCATTTGTGAATAACACCTTTAGACACTTGGTGTGTTTTCACACCTGACAGTCTGGTAGACTTGGTTCGATTGGGGAGAAAAGCTGCTACATTTGCTGCATTTTCAGCTGCTGTGGTTCAAATTCACACTGCACTCTGTCAAACACAACTAACCCTTTGAGAAACCTGGTCCCTTTCTCGCCTGTGGTGGCGCTACACCATGAACCAGTGAAGGAAACGACACAAAAACCTCTGAAGAAGACATGAGCGCAACTTCCTTCTGTGCAAAATGCAAACAAAAATGGAGTAGCTTCAGTTTTTAGTGGTTGGTAGGATTTTTC